CTTATAGTTAGATTTGTATCTTTATAGGTTTACTGAGAACGATCCAATATTTGAAACATTTTATATGTCTGTCCTTTTGAATGAAAGGGGCAAAATGAAAAACAAAGTAATAATCCTCATACATGCTTCTATTGCAATGATAATCATTACCATCACTGTTGAATTCAAACAGACCATTCAGTACCTGTGATGGTGTTTCAGAAGTATAAGCTTCTACAATGTGATAATCACAAGAACTTATTGCCTGCAGCATGTCAATGTCAGACTTGAAATTGAGCAGCAATCTCATAAAGAAAAACGTAGAAGGTGTTATACATAGTGTTAGACTTGGGCAGAACACCAGACACGGGACCCAGAATGTGGGCGATAACGAAAGCTGACAAATCCGAAGGGCAAGGCGTGAGGCGTAGTCGGGGAAGTAGCCAGACGGTCGAATGCCGGGGTGTTCAGTCCTACACAGGCACGCTGGACAGGGGGACAGGCAGGACAGGAGGCAGGAACAGGCAGGATGCAGGATGACAAGGGGTCCGCGACAGGCGGGCGAGGAAGACAGGGCAGGCAGGGCAGGAGAGAGAGACGGGAGACAGGAAACCGCTCAGCAAGGCACATTAAAGCAATGGCAACAGTACTTCGCAAGGAGTGCTGGTCAGGATATATATATACACACACACACACACACATACACAAATACATATACAGCTCTGGAAAAAATTTAGAGACCACGCCATATTAAACAAAAGAAAAAATAATCTGCATTTTTTAAATCCTGGTTTAACCCTGGTTTTGCTGGCAGAGGGCTGCACTGCAAGGCAGGCTGCTTCCAGGCTTAAAGTGTCTAAGACTGTGGGTGGAAGTGACTTTCTGTTGGCAGAGATGACCGTTAACTTATCTAACAGTTTCTCATGAATTGGAGGATGACATCAATGACTTTCGAAAGGAATGAGAACCATTAAGTGCAGGTGTGAAGTGCAATGCTAGGTTAGTTCATATCAAGCAGGTCTGAAGACCCCTAAAGCAAGGAAATACCCCATCATTAATGAGAACCAGGGAAGGACTGATGTATAAATTTTCCTTCCACATGTTTTCCATCACCAATTCCTCTCCTCCCTCTAAAAGTATGCTGTCAGCATCTAAACATGTTTCCCTGGAACCGGCTCCATCTAATGTGTCTTTATGTTGTATGTCTGCCTGTCTGCTGATGCATGTTGGTAGAATTTCACTATATGAGATATGTAATATGATGCATAGACTGGTATGTTTAGGTTGGCAAAAAAAAAATCTGAGTGCTCAATTGGATTACAGCATCTCTAGTTCAGTCATACTTCAGCCTATATAAAGGAAGTCATATAGGACTGAAGTCTCTGCTAGCTTGCCATGTATGATTTTGTTCCAGTGGGGCTCCTGAATACTTTTGATTAGACCGCTGAATGAATTATTTATAGATATTACTAAACTAAATATACTGCATATCAAACTGAGCAGTATTTGAAAGAATAAAAACGGTTACAGGTACAAAAATAAGTTTGTTTCCTTGTTCAATATGTTGTGAAACTTTATCAAGGCAGAATAAATTGCTCTTAAATTATTTTTCAGACAGGGATAGGCCGGGTGGGCTTCCTTTATTAATCTACCTGCAGAAGACAGGGAATTCGCGTTTCACTAAGAATAGATGAGCAGTGCTTTTTTTGAGAGCGGCACAAGAAGATATTTTCCACCTGAGAAGGAATTTTTGTTATGCCCAGTGAATATTTAATACAATGAAAAGCAAAGACTTCACTTGGAAAAAAAGCATACGATCTTCAAAGCACTGGTTGATGTAAGCAAAGGGCAAGTGACACGGGTTTTATTTTTACTTTCATACTAAGGATTGCTGCAGTACGACATGGATTTTTCTTTTTTTGTTTTGCTTTCAGCCATGGATAGATGCGAGAAAGTAGACCGCCCCTACTATAATATTAGAGCAGCTACTTAGAGCGTATGCAGTGCTAGATTTGATTTAGAATTCCATTGAATAAGTACCTTGTTTTGATCATCTCCATCTGCAGGTTGCTATGTTTAGGCTGAGAGATAGTAAAACAGCTGTGTGATTTTCCTCAAAAAACAGAAACGCAACATGCATTTAATTACTTTGCACAATTTAGTACCGAGGATTATCTTTTTATTGTGATACATAATACGGGATGTGTCCAGATTCAATTAGCGGGGAAGAATATTTAATGGCAGATAAAAGGCCACAGGAACATTGCGGTAAAGTAACCTAACATTGAATTTACTGGCTGTATTATCTCCATTCACGGATGTATGTATTGATAATCCAAGAACTCCTTTAGTAAGAATTTTGTGTGCATGTATATATGTGTGTGTATATATTTTTTACTGTTTTCCAGGACAGGAGAATCCAAACAGCTTGAGACACAAGTACAACTTCATTGCTGATGTGGTGGAGAAAATCGCCCCTGCTGTTGTCCATATCGAACTGTTCCGCAAGTAAGGGATCTCACATTAGCACTGCAGCAAGTAAACTAAGGCCGACTGATACTAACGCATCTAACATCTAGGGCTGCCTTAAGAGAAACCCAGATTTTCTGGGTGGCCTGATGTGGCCTGATGAAGCCTTTGGACTTTAATTAGAAGCTTGGGCTGCAGGAGTTGAGTCCTTGTGTGTTTGACAACCACATTTCATAAATCATCTGAAGAAGATGCACTTTTTTTTGCCTTGCAGCGCTAACACTGCCGATGACATAACATTTAATATGCAGTTTAGAAATAGATGTCAGACCGTGACACTCGATGAATAGCCAATATTGTTTGCCTTCATTAAATATCATGTGTGCTAAAAACAAATAAAATAAACACAGCTACAATTTAGGCTTTTTTAAATAATGCTTTACTGATTTGTAATTATATGTAGGTATCTTTTCGTGATTGTTCATCGCTACATTCTTAATGATATTCCCAAAGTTTTCGAGCATTTGCCTTTGTGACCTCGCCGGTTCTGCGCTCCATGAGTTCTGCTACCCATAAAAACCCATTGGACCAGAGAACCGTTCATAGTAAGAGAAGTTAATTTTATTCCATGCAGCAGGGAATGGAATGCTGAACGCTAGTTCAGATTCTGGAAGGGGCTATTATTATATCTAAAAAAAAAAATCTGTTTGAAAATCAAAACATGAGGCTTATCCATTTGTTTTTGCCAAAAATTAACTCCTTATTAATTTTACTTAATTTTCATGAGGGTTGTCAGTTATGCTGATGTTGACTGTATTTGTCCAGTTTTTGCTGTGTGTTTAAAAGAAGGATTTCACTCAAAAGAGACCATTTGGCTCATAGATGAGATTTTGCCTTTGGTCAGGTTTTTTTTTGGTCACGATGTACTATAACTGAACATATTTCCACTACAACAACTAAAACTAATAACACAAAAACAAATAAGAGGCATGGAAGGGCAGCGAGTAACACTCGCTTGGCCCTTCTAAGGTAATGGGTTCAAACAATAAAGACTATTGATACTATTAAAGTAGAGTTTAAAGTAGATGTTTCAAACAACTGGTTTTATAATGAAGGGACAGATTTTAAATGGTTTCAGAAAAAAATAATAAAGTTCCTCAAGTCAAGCATAAATAGGTGGAATCTTACAGTATCAGAATCTTTGCAATGCTGCTATTGGGGCACAAAACTATATTTTTATTTATTTATTCACATTACACAAATAATGAGTCAAATTAATCAAATTGATGTATTTTTTTCAAATAGCAAATAGCATTCAAAACCAAGTAGCAGTAATATTGTAAATATGGAATACACATAATAAAATTAAAGTCCTTCAAAGACCTATCCACTCTCCCATCCGTCTTGCAGCTTCTTATTACTTGAAAAGGTCATGAGCCTTGAGCCTACCTTTAAAACATAGGTCTTGAGTTGGGGAAACTCCCTGGATAGAAGGCCAGTCTGCCACAGGCCATATAAGTCCATTGGCAGTTGAGTGTCTAATTCACCTAACTGCGTGGTTTTTGGAGGAAGCCAGAATGCTTGGAGGAAATCGATAGGAGTACATACAAACTCACACCCACAGAGTGCAAGGCAGGATTCAAACCCCCAATCCTGGAGGTAGAAATTGCAGTACTGAATAGTAAGCCACTATACAAACTTCTCTCTCTTTCTCCATTTTGTGAACCCTATGAACCCACGATGTTGAGTTTTTGTGTGTTACATGCAGCGACGCTGGGATTTGCAATGTTGAACTCTTAAGAGACATTTATAAGAGTGTTCCTGACGGCTTGGGCTTTATAGGTCACCAGTGATCTGCAACCGATTTTCTTTTCCATGGGAAATGTTCAGTCGTCAATCAACTTTTTAAAATGTAACTTGTAGTTTCTCTCTCCCTAATCCAGGATGATGTTCTCCATGCGTGAAGTGGCCGTGGCAAGTGGTTCGGGGTTCGTGGTCTCGGAAAACGGACTCATCGTAACCAATGCACATGTGGTAGCCAACAAGCATCGGGTCAAGGTGGAGCTGAAGAATGGCGCCACCTATGATGCCAAGATCAAGGATGTCGATGAGAAGGCTGATATTGCACTTATTAAGATTGAGACCCCGGTAAGATGTTCGTGGCCACATAAGCATAAGTTTGTGTTGTCTGTGTCATCACTGAGCATTTTGGTGAAGGTGCTAAATGAACACAAGATTCTAGTAACCTGTCGTTCTCAGTTATTTTGGTTACAGTTGTAAATTAGTGAAAATCTGGTTGTATGGTACTTTATAAATGTGGTGGCTGTACAAAATCTAGAGAAAAATATGCGGTATCTCAATGTCCGATGGGTAGGTGTTGCTTTAAGGCTTAAATGAAATCACTTTGGCACATGACTTGACACTTGATAGAGTGAGTGAAACACTTCTCACAATGGCAGCAACAAACAGTGCAACTGGCAACATACAAAACAAAGTACCAGGTTTGAATCTTGCCTGTGTTCTGTGTGTGGAGTTCTATCTGTGTCTTGCGGGTTTCCACCAGGCAGGGGCGTTGGAAATAGGGGGGATGTGGGGGATGCCCCCTCCCCATATTGGCAGACCCCCCCAACCTGTGTGCTCTAAGACTTCTACCACATCCGTAGCTCCGCTTATGGGATAGGGGCTAGGTTATCTGTAACCCTGTATTGGATAAGCATTTGGGAGATGGATAGATAATACTACAGCAAAACTGCAGTGTCGTATCTCTCTTGATTTAACGCTGTTTGAGTTTTTGTACTTTTTTTTTTAAATGGATAAACTGGGTATTTGATTGGAAACCTCAGGAGGAGGCGTGTCAGAATTCCCTTCTGATTCATGTTCTGCAGGGCTTAAGGTCAGTTTTGTTGACCCTCATAATAGTCCATCTCTACAATACACTAACTCGTACTTCTGTGTGCATGTGTATGCAATTCTTTCTTTGTGTGTGTGTGTTTGTGTGCGTGTAAGAGAGAGAGACAGACAGAGAGAGAGAGAGAGTGGAAATGTCTGAGAATTCATCCAAGTCTACCACCAAGAGACTGAGTTGTTTTGGTATGTTGGCACTATATAGAGCTGTGGAAAAAATTAAGAGACCACGCTATATTTTTAAATAGTCCTGCATTTTTAAATCCTGGTTTAATCCTGGTCCTGCTGGCAGAAGGCTATACTGAGCAGCAGGCTGCTTCCAGGTTCACAATTTTTAAGACCGCAGTACACAAGAATAAGGTGAAGCAGGAGACACCGGGAACAACCAGAAACCAGCCATGAAAAGGGCAAAAGCGACTTTCTAATGCTAGGGATGACCGTTAATTTATCCAACAGCTTCTCATGAATTGCAGGATGACAAAAAGTGACCTTCAAAAGGAACGGGAAACATTAAGTGCAGGTGTGAAGTGCACTGCTAGGACAGTTTGTATCAGGCTTTTGCAGAAATATACATATTATTCACAGACACACACCTATAAATTGACAAATGAGTGAAACTGAAAATTGTGCTGTGGTCTCTTAAATTTTTCCACAACTCTATATCATCCTATAATCTGTTGTTTTTTTTTTTTTTTTTTTTTACCCTTTATCAGTTTGCTTTTTTCGGATGGACAGATGAGCGGACGAAGGTGTATTATTATACGGACTGCTCTGGTTTTGTTTTGTTGGGTTTTTTTTTTTTGACCTTAGATTTTTTTTTTTTTTTTTTTTTTTTTCACCCTTTATTTTTTTCTGTAGTTACTTTTGTTTTTATGTTGAATTTTATTTCCTTAGCAAATGCTTCTGTCCAAAGTGATGTATGCAGGGTGCCTCTACACAGTTTTCATGAAAGCATATCATACTGGTCCCCCAACCCAAACCAGTCCAATTCTCTTCCGAAATGTTTAGGACCGCTGTCAATCGCCCCGACTTTCCCCCTGTTACGGAGCCCCTGGGCATACAAATAAGGTTCACAGAGCAGGGTTAGCCTGGCCCTGAAGCAATTGGGGTTAAGGGCCTAGTTCCCCAGCTCAATGGAGAAATCACTCTGCCACCCATGGGATTTTAAACTAGCAACCTTCTGCTCACAGGCAGAAAGTCATAACCTGCAGAGCTACACACCTGGCTATACACAATGTAAAATCTATTTTGCTCAGATGTGCATAAAGTCTGAATACAGTCTGAGATGAACAGCCGGTGGTCACACATTGTATCAGTAAACCTCTACAGTGAGCTGAAACGCCATCTGATGGCACACTGGATTAAACTGCGAAAGGCCAGCTTTTTGAAACTTCACTCCAAAGCCCTTTTTTATTCAACGTTGACTAATGCCATGCAGACGGCAGAAAAGCCATCTGGGCCACTGGCCTGCTGATTGATTGGCATTGGTCTAGCAAAAAAAAATGATAGAAATTCTATACTGCAGCCTTAGAACAAATTCTTCTGTTATATGCAGTGTGTGTTTTAAGTAACTCTTTTCTCAGTCTTAATTGGACTGCCATATGCAAATATTGTTTAGCCTCTTATTTTTTCTTATGGAGAGCTTTTGTTAGGAGATATTCAAACATCTCTGTTAATCTGGGGTTTTATTAAATCTCTGCATTCTCATGAGTAAATGGTTATTGTTTCTTTTTAACCAGGGCAGCAGTAGTTATCTTGTAGAGATATTTAAATTTATTTTACTATTAAAATTTACAAATGTGCAGTTTAGCTACAGTCTTGTCTGTGTAAATTGTCTCATTATTTTCCATGAGACTTAAGTCATAATTAGTGTAGCCTAGTGTGTATATATAGCAATAATCCTAAAGAAAGATGTAAGGAAAGCTTCTTCTGGTTGACTTTTTTTTCCCTCTAAATTTCTATTAAAATGTGGCATAGAGCGTCCGTTTCTCATTCTGTGGGAGAAAAAAACCAACCACACTGTCTCAGATGTAGACGCCTTTGATTAAGGGCATCTGGTGTCTAGCTTGCAAATACAGTTGACTGAGTTGAGTCATACATGTAAAACTGTACTTTTTTATAATATATCTGTCCCCTTCTGGTCTGCAGCTTGACTATCTTTAGAGTAAAGTCCCGCAAACACATTTCCTTCTTTATCAATTACAAGCTACTTCTCTTTCACCAAAGTGTAATACAGCAAAGATTGGGAAAGTTTCCGTTTCCAATAAAGCTAAGCATGAATTTATAAAATGACTAAATACTGGTCCCTTGGTTTTTGAGAATCAGTGTTTAGAAAGGAACACTTGTGGAACTCTTTTATGAGGTTATTATGGGCAAGGAAAATTGAGCTATCCTTCTTTCCATTCCAGGAGGATATTTCCAGTTATTTCACATTGCTTTAACACCGCTAGCAATGGACAAGTAACAAAACAATAGATACAACCTACCCGTCTTTAAAATGTGTCAGTGTTTTACAGGGATAGCTCAGTTACATATAATTATATAGTTTTGAGGCTGTGAAGCTCCTTAACCTTTTTGCTTGAAGTTACTCAAACAAAATCCTCTGTTTTACATGGATAACTTTCTTCAATGTTCATTTGCACTGCACAGCCTTTGAAAAGAAATACAACACCAGTATATTTATATTCTAAAAAGGCTGGTTTTCTTCCATCGGCTGCATACGAACACAGACAGCAGCTCATCTAAGCACTTTGCTATCGAGCTACCTTGCGTCAGGATTGGCCTCTTTGCGCTTCTGTCTGTTTACCTGCTTAGCCCAAGCAGCCAGTTGTTCCTGCGTCATGCTTGGCTTCTTCCTGTGACAAGGACATGGAGGAACATTTTGTCTCCTCCTTCATTCCTCAGTGACCTTTCACTGTCTTGTCTTGCTCTATTTATAACCGCTGCCGTAGATTTAATCCAAGCGGCTTGTAGAGTTCAGCACGCAGGACCATTTCTACTATTACCTTCATGTACGAGGCTAGATACAAAAATAATTAGTAATCGTATCCATGTTCTGTCCTACTAGTTATTTACCTACTCTGACAGCCACGTTAGAGCTCAGAAAATCAGGACGTTTCGCTGTGTACACTCCGTGTGCATATCTGGCTATAATTACGAATGCACATGTCACTGTTTAAAACCAGGTAAAATATTTTATGTGTTTGTGGAGTGAACTTGCGATTAGACTGGTCATTAATACTTTATGTCCCTGACTCAGCTATGTTGGAAACAGAAGAGCTCCTTCTATAAATAAGAAACTAAGTTTAGAAGAGTGTAACATCCTTTTGGCGTTCAGTGGATATCTAGAAGCGTATCCTTTTTTATGTATTTGCACTTAGGCCTCGATTCTTTCCCTCTCGTCTGCAGACGAAGCTTCCCGTGCTGCTGCTGGGCAGATCAGCTGACTTGCGGCCCGGGGAGTTCGTGGTGGCCGTTGGCAGCCCCTTCTCCTTGCAGAACACCGTCACCACAGGGATCGTTAGCACAACCCAGCGAGGGGGCAAGGAGCTGGGCCTGCGCAACTCTGACATGGATTATATCCAGACTGATGCCATCATCAATGTGAGTTCAGTCTTGCGTCATAATAGCATAATCTGCTTAATAACACTTAGCGGTCAGTAGGCAGCACTTCCTAAGCTGAACAAAAGATTAAAGTAGAGGGGCTGTCTTCCCCATCCCTCTGCTGCTTGGGATAGGCTCCAGAACCCATGCAGCTGGATGGATGGATGGATGGATGGATGGATGGATGGATGGATGGATGGAATTTTTGGTTTATTAATTTGTTTCAAAGTGCTATAGATTTGACTCAACACCCCCTTCTAGATGCTACTTTTGTATGACTCAATCAATTAAAAATGGCTGGAAAAAATGGAACTGATGTCATTAAGTGTCGCAAAGGTTGTCATTTATTTATATCCTTCACCAACTATACAATAATAAACTCAACTAACAACACACAAGTTAAAGTTAAAACAACTGGCATCAATCATGCCTGTGTAGTTGCATATATGTCACATGTAGAGCTATTACACATTTTCATGCAGTAATATGAAGTGGTGTCTAATTGAGTTTGTGCCCAGTTATAGTTTAGTTTTCCATTTTCTAACTTTTTAAAGTTTCTGCCTGTGGCTGAAACATTGGCAGCCGTAAAACAAAACAGCAAGACCTTTTTTTTGATGTTTTCCACAAGAGGACTGACAGATTTTGCAACCAGCATTGCTGTGAATTGCTCCTGTGTTTCAGTAACATAATAGTAAATGAAGGTAAAATCTTTCTGCCATGGGTAATTAAGCTGCACTCTTTCTCTCACAACAAGCAATTGAATATGTTCAGTAAATGAAAAGAGGACAAAAATGTCTCAGAAAGGCATCAGCAGAATATACCCTGTTATACTATATATATATATATATATATATATATATATACAGGTATGTGTATGTATTTTTTTGCTTTGTGTCTAAACGTATGAATGTATGTTTTTATTTGTTAGTATGGGAATTCTGGAGGCCCACTGGTCAATCTGGTAAGGTGGATTTCTCTCTTTCATATACCCTGTTACACATAAATCTTATGCTTATTGTGTGGATGCCCTGTTAATTTGAGGAACAGGCTCATTAAATCACAGCCACTGCAGACGTCCCACCTTTCCCGCAAATTCTAGTGGCTTCTTGACACCCCGAATGATGTTCAATGTCCAAGAAATGAGCTTTCCCAGAAGAGCAGAGACTATTACAGCAACAATGAGCCAACCAACTTCATATTAATATCCTTAGTTGTGGAAGGAGATGTTGGTCCAGCTGGCGTCTACGTACGTTTGGCCATACAGCGTGCTTCGCACAGTGGTAATGATTTCAGGGAGCAGAACTCTGATGGGATTTATTCTTGTAGGATGGCGAGGTGATTGGAATCAACACCCTGAAGGTCACGGCAGGCATCTCATTCGCCATCCCCTCTGACAAAATACGGCAGTTCCTGGCCGAGTCATACGGCAGGCAGGCCAAAGGTACCTGTGACAGTCCATCATGCTCATAGATCCACCCACCAAGTTTCATTTCACTCAGCAGATCCCTATGTAGACTAAACCCAGAAAGCACTTTCTGATTGTCCAGACCAAACATCATACGTCATATAAGTGACCCTCCTTATACAGTAGTTAAATCTCAGCAAGCTGACTCCGATGCTGTTTGCACTTCAGTGAAAACAACATTAAAGAAGAAATACATCGGAGTAAAGATGATGACACTCACAGCAGCGTAAGTATTTTTGCAATTATTAAAAAAATAAAAATAAAAAATGGGTAATACTACTTAAAGCCATCTCTTAACAAATAATTATGCATTCATAAAGCATTATAAACTTGGCTTAAATATTTATGATTATACATTTTGAATGCTTTATGAAGCTCTCACTTATAGTGCAGTGTAGATAGCAGCTTCATAAGGCAGTCATAATGCATCATAAGCATGGCTGTAATGTATTATGCCTTTATATAAATATTTATAGCCATGTTTATAATGCTTCATGAATGCATTATTATATATATAATGTGTTTGTTTATAAATTACTAGAAACATGGCCTTAAGTCTTACTAAAATGTTTTAAAGCATCAAGTGCTTTTGGCTTGAAGTGTTTATACTCCTCTGTAGACTTGCTGTGGAGCTGAAGGCTCAACAGAAAGATTTCCCTGATGTCACCTCTGGAGCGTACATCATCGAGGTCATCCCTAAGACACCCGCTGCAGCGTAAGTGTTACTACAGGAAACAACAGTTGATTTCTGTGATACTTGCTGGTATACTGCACACTTAGACCACATTTCAGATTATGCCAGTTGCATTTTGTCTTGCTGGTATGACTGAAGAATGAGGTTTGAATGCCTGCTCTGCAGTTGTGGATGGGGATAGCAGCCACGAACCCCCCCCCCCCAACAAAGTGTGGCAAAGAAACCCTGTGTATCTTTGCTGCAGAATTCCTTAACCTGAGGTCTGCTGAAGCATCAGTTTCCCACTTTATGAAAACAATGACTCGTCTCTAATAATCTGGCTGGTGACCACGACCTGCTCTATTTCTGGCTGACTGAAATATCCTATGGTTTGCCTTTAAAATACTTTTACTGACCAGAAAGCTAAAAATATTGATGGGGGCTGCTAATGAGAACTGATCTAGCATGGATGTAACTGATAATCCATGACTGGCACTGTTTGCCGGCTAAGAGAATTAACCCGTTAATCTGAGTCCGTAAAAGTAGTAACTGAAAAAAAATCGTCATTGTAGCAGAACTAAGTCTACTCAGTGAGATTGCTGTAAGTGCCATTGATCCATCTCATTTTCTGTAGTGTTAATTGTGTGCTGGCTGGTCCACATTTTGCCCAGCAGCTGAAAGTTCAACCTTAGCTGTGGTTTCCATGCAGACTTTCAATCTCTCCTTTTTTCCTGTGTCAGGGGCGGCCTGAAGGAGCATGACGTCATCATCAGCATCAACGGGCAGCGCATCTCTACCACCGGAGATGTCAGCAGCGCGATCAAGCGGGACGGCACCCTGCGATTGGTGGTGCGCCGCGGCAACGAGGACGCCATCCTCACCATCATTCCGGAGGAGATTGACCCTTGACCACATCCCCCCACCCCCCCATCCTCTGGAGCCAACTCTCTGTACATCCCTGCAGACCATTATGGGTGTGGTTTTGAAGTGCCACCACATTAAGAATCTGTAATCAATAGACTCTTCCCTGTACCATCAGCTGGGCTGAAAACTCACCCAGTGGTTAGCAAACTGTGCAGAACACAGTCCAATCTATGCTACTAGAGGTACGACTGCTCTTCCGATCTATGCTACTAGAGGTACGACTGCTCTTCAGTTAGCCTACCAGTGTTCAGTGTATTATTTATCTTTTTTATTGTTTTTGTACTGCACTTATGCCACTGTTCGAAACGTCCATGTGTGGGGAATTTTAATTCCCTTTTAAATTTTATATTTGATGTATTTTCCTTGAACAACATGTATGAGGGGCAAGAATAATTTCCATGTAGTCCAAATGTTGGTGGAGATTGGATATTAATATATAGGACATTCATGTTCAGACAATATGGAACAAGTTAGTCCATTTTGGTTTATTGCCATCCTGTTGTTTAGGGGCTGAGATTTTACCCAGAGTGCATTTCTTCACCAGTGGCTTTTGTGGTGTGTGGACAGCAACTCACAGGAAGAAAAGGGAGGTTGTAAACTTTCAGCTCATAAAGGAGTCGGAATTCCCCCAACAATGCTGTTGTTCTTGCATAACCTGTATCTTCTCATTTCTGGATACATATTTACTTATTTTGTATGCCTAAAAAGCAGTATACAGTAGATTTTTACTGGATATAGTAAGACAACTGCCTGTCAAAGGCAGTGGTGGATATTCAGCTGTTATTAAAGATATCAGTTGAACAGCTACACTCTGCACTATTCCATTGTTTGTATATAATGTTTGGTAGCTGATATTTTTATTTTTTAGTAAGTACTGTTCAGTTGGCCACCATTATGGAGTATGTGCTCATAATCATTAGAAAAACCTGGAAGGTGTTGCCCTCTAATGGACTTTACTGTTGTTACAGTTGAACAGCAGTAATAATCTTACTATATTAAACTACATCATTTTACTTTATTACCCTGAATGTAATCTTTGTCCATCACCGTAATTCTTGTGTTGGAGCATAATTTGAGAATATCGTTGCACAAAATCTTTTGGGTTTTACTTAATTATGAAGAATCAGAGAATAAACACATTGGAAACGTGTGAATCTTTCACCACAGTCATAGTTTCAGATGTTATTGGAGGACGTCGCCCTCAGAGTCTCTGCCAGAACTGTCAGTAATAGTTTGCAATGAAACAAATCCCTTTATTATTATTATTATTATTATTATTATTATTATTAATAAGTCCTGTCTGAGTGTTGTAAACGAACCCTTTTTGTGTATGTAATTGAAATTAATAAATTATATTTTGAAGTTTTCTTTTAAGGTGGTAAAGAACTGCCTTTTTGCACAACTTAGAACCATGATGGATTGCATTAATTAAGCTTTACCCCTAGCTGTTTAACCGATTCACTGGAATGACCCAAGGAATCAATTTGCATCACTATTTTGCAAATAAGTATAAAAGTCTTAATGATCTTAGAAAAACACAGAGTAGTAATTTTACTAATACTGTAGTGGTATGTATTTAGAGCTAAAATTTTATGTCCTATGGAAATATTTCCACAGATGATTAGTATAAATTAGATTAATTTATAAAATCCTGCTATGGTTTGTGTGTGTATGCTATGGCAGTCTGGGTGGGGCGCTCTATCACTGGAGGGTGCTTTGTTTTATTACACCTGTTACTCATCCTTAGTGTCCTTTACATATTATTTTCCCCTTCATGTTTGTACTGAAAGGTTTTTGTTTCTGCTCAGCCATCTCCTTGAATGAGCTATTTTTGATATCTTTTAGAATGCTTTGTTTTTCTCTGTATCTATTGCCTATTAATCTGAAGAAGGATGGATGTAGCGCTGCTTCATTTGCTAGGTTTCCCCACATTGTGATAATCCACCCATCACCACTTAAACCCAACCAGGGGGACCAGAGCCTAGCCTAGCCTGGGAACAACAGGCACAGGCAGGAACCAACACACTCACGGGGCCAACTTACATTCGCCAATTAACCTACTGCTCACACTTTTGGACTGTGGAAGGAAACCGGAGCCCCCAGCGGACACCCATATGAACACAGGAAGGTCCTACACCCAACCCAGGGACCCAACCCAGGCCCTTCTTGCTGGGAGGCTGCGCCACCGTGCCACCCCGCCACCCCATTGTAATAATGAACCCCTCAAATCAGATACTGCGTAATTTAAAGACACAATAGATAGCATAGTGGTAATATTTTATTGTTACAGTGGTTACGGTTTACACATGCAAATCTGGGTTCTGCATGATATGGCTCATTTGTATCCATTCTCGCTTGTTTGTATTAGTGATTCGAAGTTCAGTTGAATTTCCAGAATGGATTATTCTATCAACAAATAATGAATCGAAAATCTGATTCTAAAAATCATTTGGGTGAGGGGCACTACATATTGCTGCACTCTCTTTGATTACTTGTATTGAAACTGTTATTTTGACATTGTGGGGACCATTTTTTCAGTCCCCACAAAGGTAAACTCAATTTTATTAAAAAAAAAAATAATAATACTGACTACAATCTGAAATAATACTGACTGAAAATGTCAAACGTTCTGTATTTTTTTTGTTGGCTTATGGTTAAGGTCAGGGCTGGGTTTAGGGTTGTCATAGCTGGGATGGCCGTTTTGCCCATAGAACTGAATGGAAGACCCCCACAAAGATAGACGTACAAACCTGTGTGTGTGCGTGTGTGTGTGTGTGTGTGTGTGTGTTCTGTGCTGGATGGCATCCTGTCTGGGATGTATCCCTACCGTATACCTGGTGCCTAATTTGTGCTGGATCCTGCTAGAACACATTCCGGACTTCACTGTTTTTCACTGTCTGCTTTTTTGGCAAATCCAGCAGGTCTCTGGTTAAAAAAACGAAAACAATAGCAATAAATTAAAAATACAATAAGTATATATTTTAATTTACAGACCAATTTTTGTGCAATTTCACCTTTATTACTTTAGATTTATTCTTAAAAATACATAGCTCTCATAGGCCCTTCACATTCCGGCACCTTCTGATTTACCAATGAAGCACTGCTTATGCCTATCCAGGATCGGTGTGAGGTGCAGTGAGCTCAAGTACCTGTGATGGGAAGATCTCTGGTCCAAGCCCAGCATCCCCAGAATAGTCACATGCCTGTGGAGCTTTAGGTGAGGCCCTTACCTCGCAGCTCTGGGGCACCATGTGTGATTGATCCTTTGCTGTGACCCCCCAACCTTGCTCTCGCCTCCATGTGTGTCTCACGGAGAGCAAGATGGGACAGACAAAAAGAGAATTTACCCACAGGGATCAGTAAAGTATTCTTATTTTGATAAGCAACTGGAGAATCTACGTGGGATTTGAAGTAATACGTACTGAGTGCAGAGGCGGTAATTTACTCTTATCATTTAGGCTGATATGGAAAGTCCTGTTTGCAAAACCTGTATCAGCAATGCTGTTCAAACAACAAAAAAAAAATCCAGTTCTGCGATCATAAAGTAATAGCGCATTAAAGCATATCTGCCCTTCACTATGTGCATTTATGTAGATGTATTATATCTAGAAAGATGGGAGGAAATCCCGGCCAGGGTATCCCCAGTCCTCAACTTCCCGGCCAGGGTATCCCCAGTCCTCAACTTCCCGGCCAGGGTATCCCCAGTCCTCAAATTCCCGGCCAGGGTATCCCCAGTCCTCAACTTCCCAGGATAGGCTTCAGGTTCATCACAGCCCTGTAAAGAATAAGTGTGTATGGAAGCTGGATGAGTCACATTACATACCCCAACAAGCTTTACAGGTGTTTTACAGTGAATCACTACCATTGCATGTTGTTTTTTTTATTATTATTTATATCTTGTACAAATTATTGAGTTATGAGTTTGTGATGAAGTCAAGCATTTTATCACTTACCGCAATAATTAAATTTCTGGGATGTGGGTGCTGTAAAGATTGGGTTTATCTGTGTTTACACTGGACATGTGTAGGACATCGAGAGAGAAAGGGAACACCTCAGATGAGGAAGCGGAATTCTGAACCATGAGAATGCAGATGGTTCATGACATATGACAACAGCTAACAATAAATTCTCTGGTCTATGAAATTGCTTTACAACGTCCCTAAGGTTGCATTCAAGTATATATCAAACTTTTTTTTTCCGCAAATTTATAACAGTAGATGTTTTGTATTGGCTAACCAAACCGTGTGATTCCTACAGGTGCTGATGATTTATGTTGATCCACCTGCAATCTCCTCACACAGTTTATTACTCCCTCAAACAAATATGCGGAAAAATATTAGGCACATCAGGTATATAAGCGATCATTTATGGTCATTTGGGACAGACCTGGGTAGGGGAACCATGGAGTTTCACACCATATCATTCCTACTAAGCCTTTTGCTGGCCGTCAGTGACACTCATGGTATGTACATCTACTACATGTATTTACTGTAATCTACTGATTTTTTTATTACCAAGATAACCAATATGCACCTGCAAGGATAACAATAAATGTATATAAATGTATTTTTCATATTTATGTTTTATGTGTGTGTGTTAATGATGTTTTGTATGAAATAGGCAGAAGGATGATTGTAAACTGTCACTCTGTATCTATTACAGGACGGTACTGGGTAACAGGTTAGTGATGCAAAAGTTGATTTACATGGATTATTGACATTTTAAATGTATTAACATACAATGGTACTTTAGATGTCTGAATATAATTAATTCAAACTGTAATGTGACTCAACATGCTACTGGCATTGCTTTCGGTTGAAAAGACAGAAAATCCTAATTTCTTTACAGTTCAAAAGGTTATGAGTGATTTTGAAACAGTCCATTTGAACCAGTACAACGGTTGACAAATTTTCACCCAACTGTTCTAAACCTAAGAGGGGAAGTAAAAAACGTTAATGAATGAACAGACACTGTAAACCATCAAATTTCCATGTATCAGTTTCGCTTAGTGATGTGGTTATCCGTTATTTTTGCGTAATCGTTACTACCGAGTACTCGGCAATCCAGAATTCGTTACTTAATACTCGTTACCACTTAGGTTGGCTATGCATACAATAACGAATGCTGCTACCTATAATATACCGCAGTCCGTAAACCTACAGTGCTTAGCAGCGTCGCGTTAGTGTTGGTAATTTGACGCATGGTGCTATTGCTGGTTGTAAGAACTGCAATCACAATTGCTTTCTCAAAATTGAGTGTGAAGATGCACGCCGCGCAAACAAAGGAGAGCGGGATGCCAGTCAGTCAACTCAAATGTGCTGTCAAGATGCTATTTATCATAGTTTTGAACAAAGATCGTGGTTAAGGAACATGATCATTTGCACTTTTTCAGCTGACAGAAATTAAATGGATATCGGTACTGCAGTCGGTAGTCATTCAGATCGATGACCGTATCGTTATTCGGTACTTTCAGTTGGATAGTGGAAACGGGTTTTTCGAGTGATTACTCAAGATGGCAGGAGCCTGGAGGCAAGTCTCAAGCTAGACTAGGGGTGCCCAATATGTCGTTCGCAAAGGTAGTCTGGGTAGATTGTATGGCATAAAAAATAGAGGATGGATGACGAGTTCAGCCGCTCCAGTTGCTGCAAAACTCTAGAAAGTTACCAAGTCACCTACTTAGCCTCCAATTTATTTATACTAAACTTAGAAAGGGTATAAAAATGAATGAGGGAGCAGGACCAAGTAAGAAGCCAAAAACCTACCACTTCCATACGGAATGGGAGGAGGACTTTTTCCACCATGTCATATTCGAAGTGCGTTTGCCTCATCTGTCAGCCTACCATTGCTATTCCGAAGAAGGGAAATGTGGAGCGGCATTTTCGGACTGTTCATCAAAACTACGACATTAACTTCCCTCCGAAAAGCAAGCTGAGAAAGAGAAAGGTGAAGGAACTAAAATCCCAGTTCAATTCAAAAATACTTTCTTAAAATTATTATTAATAATAATACTCAATATTTGTATACATAAATATAGTAGGTAGATAATTTTGACTTGGTCATGAATAAGTAGCTTGCAAGCTGAAAAAGTGTGGGCACCCCTGCGCTAGACGGAACCCGCTTGCTAACCCTACCCCCATAAGACTCGTATGTGGGCCATACAACATGCAGGCAATGAGCGCAGGCTTCAGATAATGGAAACCAGCTGCAACTGCATGCCAGCCAGAGCTGCCGCAAACAACAGTCTGCAAGGCGAGTGCCGATTGGGCGGTTTGATCAGTCATTTCGTTACTGTCAGCAACGAATCCTTGAACGGCTGAATACTAGTAACGATTCGTTACAGCCTGGTATTCGTTACTTACGTACTCGTTACTACTCAAATCTACACCACTAGTTTCGCTAAAGTACATAAATATCACCAACAGGCTCTACTTTCTTAATTATTCTCCCAGACCCATCTGTTTTGTCACTAAAACATTCCGATGTGCACAATGCGTTATAAAATGTTTGTAAATTCTTTGCTAGACTATTTCACCACTGACTATTCCACGGACTCCTGCATGTACGGCTGTGGTTACTCCTACTCAAGCTGCTCCTGCACATATGACTGCTGGTACAATAATAACTGTTGCCCCGACTACAGAGGTAAGCAGTGTGTCCTGCTGAATACACTTTAAAGTCCTGCTTTTACCTCACTAATCTTCTGCGGGCCTACCCTCCCTCCCTCTCCCTCTGGTCCTTATCAGCAGGCCTTCTTTCTATCCCAGACATGGGTTCTAGAGCCTTTTCCCACACTGCACCAAAACCCTGGAACTCTCTCCCCCTCAGGCCAGCGAAATGGACAGTATAACACAATTTTAAAGTGCTGTGAAACCCCACCTTTCTCAGGCTGGCATGTTCACTTTGAGTCCATCTGCTTACTTTGTAATGTCTGATTGTATTGATGCTGTCATGGTGTTCTTTTTATTCTTTTTGAGGTGATCTTGCGTGTCTTGAAAGGCACCTTTAAAATAAAACATGTTACTGTCATCATCATCATCATCATCATCATCATCGTCGTCATGATTGAGCAGCTGTCAGCATTACGGTTTCCAACTACTGTGGTTGACTTGTTCATGGTACAGTATCTAGAGAGGTTAATGTCTGTAGATATGTCTGTTTTACTTTAACTTTGGATGAATAGTTCTAGCAAAACTGATTACCGCTATGTTGTCAAAAAAGTAGAAGTAGCCTGACATTATGCTCAAACAGGTAGCTGTGGAGTCTTTTCATATGTAGTATATCTCATATAGGGAGAATGATTATGCATTGTGAGATTTTTTTGAAGGTTAATTGGAAAGTTAGGTGGAAGAATGGATTGCCTTGTTCCCTGAAATAATGATCTTTTATAGTATTAGGGTAAAAACTAAGAATGCAAGTTACAATAATTTATTCAAATTTTATATTCCTTAACAGACCTTAGTAAATAGTATGATTTGTATGTATTTGGGTTATTTTGATACAGGCAATATGCTGTTCATCTATTTATGGCAAAAAATAACAGTAAATATTTATATTACATAAAAATACAAATTTTGCTTGAAAGTTCTTAGTAGCAACCAATATGCAACCTAAATACACTTAATTTCCATATTGTAACAGAGTTTACAATCATATCTTTTCTGCTGCCTCTGCACATAACATTTCTTTGTTTGTTTATATGTTTGTTTAGTTATTTATTTTTCCAATTCAACCACCATTGCAAGTTTCAGTTAAAGGAGGTTAATTTATGGGAACCACATGGTGATTGTTCTTCTTTTTATTTTTTATACAGAATACTGTGATCCAGTAACGAGTACCGTACCAGGTATTTCACCATTTCTAAAACTGTCACTCATTTTTTAATTCCTAGGAATATCAAAGAAAACATATCTGACTGGTTTATTCACAGTGCATCTTGCATTCGCAATATACTAAAAGCCATATTTTGTGGTGCCTTTTTTGGGTCTCTTTAGATTCCTGTGGAGGTGTATTAACAAACTCATCTGGGTGGTTTTCCAGCCCTAATTACCCCTCTGGCTATTTCAACAATGCACAATGTACGTGGCAAATTAAGGTTCCCAGTGGACAAAGGATTGTTTTGGCACT